TATAGTTAATTGTTTTCCAGTTGCTATAGTAACAGCAGGTTGTTACAACTTTCTGGCCAATCGAAACCTCGTTAGCGTCACCCATGGCAACAAGGAAACTAGAAAAAAATTGTTGGAACAACGCAACTTGCAGATAACACCCAGTCCAAGGACATGATAGTTTACATTTTTCCTCTCGTCGATAACTGGCTTCGCGAATGAGATACACACACTTATTCACCTGTAAGCTAAAATATTTTATTGTAGGGTCTCGGATACGAGTAATATCTCTCAATTTAACTCTTTAATATCAAAAAGGAAACGACGAAAAATACGGATAACATCTAACGTCAATCTTATAATTTCACTTAACCATAGATCTCTGCACGTAGATAAAACGCTCCACCGTTTCAAAAATTTTTACTCGTTTATCCTTGAATTCGTAATTTTCCTTGGTTGATTTACTTAACATAAAGTTTTGACGAATTTTGAGCTAACTTACATAATCTCGCACATTGACCGCTACTTACAAGCCCGAAAGAACGTACGACATTAAAATTTTCCGTCATTCTCTGAACATTCTTTTGACTTTTCGGGGGAGTATATACTTCGAACTAAAATAAGAATAACTTTTATTGATAATTAGTATTCAACTCAATTTTTCGGGTGAGACTTTAAAACAAGAACGTCTTCGAACAGAAAGAAATTCATATCAATATTCAAAATGGTCGCTACTTTAATTTTTAATAACTTGAATGCAATGTGAGTTCCAAAAATTAACATTAATTTTTAGATTCCTCTTCCATGTACATAGGCACGAGCCCAACGTGTATCAAGTTATAAAATCGATGTAAAAATATAAATTTTCTGGGTTCGTCATCGCTTCGAAGAAGAGAATCTGGGCCGTTCGTGTTTTTAAGCAATACATTTTAGCAATTAAATTGGAAAGTTTGACAAATAATTACACCTGTTGTGTTAATTTATGCTTACATGCTAGAGTTTCATTCATCAATGGATAAATTTAGCTCTTTTGGTAATTTGAGTCTAGGCTTTTCTTCTTCATTTCGAGCTTTTGTACAGCTGCAATTTTATAGTTTAGTTCTATCAGGTTCACAAAGGACCAAAATTTGTCTCAAGTCGTATCTCTAATTCCCCATTTACCTTATTAGTAGTTCTATTTACCCATAGAACCACTAATTACGTAGATGAAATTGGCGCAATATGCAATTTGTCAGAAAATTTTCCACTATGATGAAAACTCAAACATAGCTACCTCTTAGAATATTGAACACAAACATTGTATTATATTCCAACCGAAAGTTTAAGTTTCTAGGAACGCAAACTCGGACACTGGTGTAAAATTTCAAGCGACAGTTTGCTGTTCTTGAACCAAAGAATAAAACAAATTCTAATTTCAATGCGCGTATTTATTTTCGGAGACAACACCATACCGCTTTGTCTCTTTATATAATTTTATTTTTAGGGCTTTTTGCCTGCGGATTTTAAATTGAAATTCAAACTAAGAAAATATGCTAAAATTCTAATTTTTTTTTAAAAACATTACATTGACTAACTTTCTCTCTCTTGGTTTTAGGAATATTTTGGAGAGCATGAATATATACTTGTGTTTTCTGCAAGTTGAATGAGACTAGAAACTCTGTTCTGACTGGTTAAAAGGACCTCCAAATAAGGGCTAGCAGCAGCATAAGAAAGGCTGTTTGATTGGTCTGTTGAAATTCTGTCAATAAAATTCGACTGAGTTTGACCAAGGCTTCCTTTATTTACACGAAAGCAGAGGAAGGAAGCGGAAGGAAAAACTATGTTATCTTTATAACAAAAATTGATCACACCATTGTAGAACCGATTTGACGTACATCGTTTGATATATATATCTGTAAGACAAAACTTATCTGTAAGACAAAATTTACCTGTAAGGCGAAACTTTATTTCGATTATTTATCAAACCTGAGAGTATTTGTGCTACAAAGACCACCTAAAGATGTTGTTTTCTTTAGCAAAAAGCGTCAGACAATTTTTTTTTGGAGATCTAGAAATTTTAATCCTCTTTTTGGTGTATACCGACTAAGTTCATATCTGAGTCATTGCAGATGCAGTTCAGAGTTTATCGTTAGCCTGTTCAAAGACACAAACAAAGTCTGCTTACAGTCTGTCTATTTCGATTATTATTATTATTCCAGAAACAGTAAATCGTTAAACAAACGCTGAGTTGAAACAAAAGAAAACCGATCAGCCCAGATAAAAACACCTTTCCTCTTCAGAGATCAAACAGTTATTGTTGTTAGTTAGTAAACTCATAATAAACTTTTCCGTTTAGGTGAAACGCAGCCCACAGGAAATTTCTTATTTTGATACGGCTTAAATTTGTTTGAGTTTTCCATTAAAACGACTCAAATTAAGAAAGTTAATGATATTGATGTTTGGCGCCATAAATTTCGCTGTTTGCCGACAGCAGGTGATGAGGAACAACTTCGGGAGCGTCTTAAATTCCTGTAAGCAATTTATAGATCATGATCAGAAATCTAACCAAGAATATATGAGGCATGAAGAGAAATCATTACACTTATCTTTAAAAGCTAGAATGTTGTTTTATCCTTTCTACCTACATTTCGTGTGATTGAGAAGCCATCGCGAAAGGGCTCCCTGTTTAGCGTTTGCATATAAATATTTATTAATGTTTAATTATGTGTGCGCCACAATAACAACTTCTGGCTCAAAGCATGTTGTAGAAAAATTGGAAGGTTCTTAATTTTGCCGCTGGAATACAAATTTCTAAGCCTAATTATACAAAGTTGACTAACGACCCTGTAGAATTAACTACATTGAATGAAAATTTTTTTTTCAACGTACGACAGATGAATTCAGCCAGTTGATGAGTAAATACACCAAAATATTGTGTCAATTCCCATGGACTTATCGCTCTATAAATTTCATCAAAAGAATAAAAGAAATCGAGTAAAATATTCGAAATCATGATGTATATTTGTAGTATATTACAAAACTGAAGATTACCATCAAGTGAGGATCATTTTGTTTCAAAGACTTCAAGTTGTGGGAAATCCAGTTTCCATAAGTCATCTTAGTTTTGGGTCTCTCTGTTAGGCCTTTTGTGGGCATCATTCTCCGTTACATATGCAATCCAATATCTCGCGTTATTATCTGCTGTTGGATAACGCATTTATCAGAGAGATAACTAAGTTTGTTGAGGTCTTAAAGGAGCGAGGCGCATTTAATTGAATATTGAGCCTGGTGAGTCACGGTAAATCCTTCTTTTGAAATGGAGGGCCAACGAGCGCGTACGCAGGTCAGCCCAACTAACAAAAATTGCACACCGTGCACCCTAAGAGTGGGGAACACGCAGGATTCAGCCTCCGAGAAGAGTGCAGTGAAGGCCGAAACCTGGGAGCACTGCCTTCTTGATCACAGTAGCTCCAGTGCCCTGTAAGTATGAAAATACTGCGCTTTTCGCTGCCTTTTTATACCCTGACAATCGCAACAATTTTATGGGAGCTCCTTTCGAACCATATGCTTTTGTCAAATTTGAAATGTGTTATTCAACGGCCAATGATCTCAGCCGTTAGGTCGTTTTGCAATGTTTTGGAGAACTACGCATGTGTAATGGTTGTTTGACGAGCGGGATAGTCTGTCACATGGTTAGCTCATCCCATATGGGTTTTCGTGACGCCTCCTCTCCAGCTGTTCCAGCCTTGACAAATGATAATCAGAAGCCCAAAGCCAATTGTTCGTCAGAATCCATGTTAAGCGTGTTTTGCTAAATTTGTGTCCATGTTTAAGGTAAATAGCTAGGAAATAGATATTTTTATGAGAATTACTATGCGATTTCTCCGTCGAGGGCTCTAATAACTGATGTCCAATTATACTTTTAGTTTTGCAGTGTTTTTCATCGTGTTCCCTTTGGGGTAATTCCATTCTCGAACAATCCTGTTTCTTTTCCCCGTTGAGCTATTATTTTTAGGTTGCTTTCAATGATCGACAATTTTCAATCGCCCCGGAAAACAAAAAAACTATTGTGAAGTAGCTGCCATAATCTTTATCGCAACAATTATATATTTAGAAACGTTCTATTATCGGAGTCAATGCAGGGAATATCCAATAAGGCAGAAGATAATTAAGTCCTTCCTTCGAGGTTTTGGACATAAAAGAGAGAGCGAAAACCTGGGGACGACTTTGTCTGCTTCACTGATGTCGTGAACTAGACCTATTCTTCCAACATGCACATGATGAACACAGCCAGCGAAAACTTACTGTGAGAAAACGATATCTTTATACGTTCACATTTTAAACATAATTCGTAACAGGTCGTAGCGTTAGGTTCATAAATTTGGACATGGTAGGACAATAATACTAAGAGAATATCAATTATACTCTCTTGGTTTTATTCAACTTCGAAAAGTCCATACAAAATGGGTTTAATTTTATTTCAAATCATTTGCGAACATTAAGAAAACGAGAGCTTTGCAAGGTGTGATACCAGTTTTTCGACGAGAAGGTACACCAGAAGGACAACTGAAAAGTAACTGGGATAAAATTGTCTCAGATGTGACCAGTTTTTTTGTTTGAAACTAATATTACAAACAAGTTGTTGGACATTTTATGGAGATATGTTGGAGAAATTTGACCGAGTTCTAAGAAAGCGATGAGAAAAGTTTTGTCTTAACGAAGTACAGTTGAAGAGTTTTTCCTCCTTTAAATTACGGCGAGAATAAGAGGACCGCGTGAAAAGGACAAGCCTTTTTGCTCGACCTGGCATGGGACTCACGCACAATTTTCATTAGTTGCGAAGCTCATTGCTCTCATACTAGAACTCAACCCGTAGACTGCCCAGATAAAGAAAATGCATCGCATTTAAATTACATCATGCTTCTAATTTTTAGCGCAATTGTTTTTGAGTCAGGTGCGCCAGGCAAAAATACGACAACCAACTTTAATGACCTAAATATATTTATAGTCAAGAGTTAGATTTATCGGATGTTTTTTTCTTGTCACTGGAACGAGTAGACAGATATTTTCCGCTTTCTCTCTTTTTCTGTGACACGGTTGGTTTCTGTTTTTTCAGCTGAAGTTGAAGCACATGAACAATACACTTCTCCTTTGTTATTGGTCTCCGCATCAAGGTTTCCTTTCGGTATTTGAATGGGTTCTCCTTTGGCGGGAAGCGCAATCCTATGGTAGTCTGTTAAATTATTAATATTACAACTTAACACTTCGTCCTGAAAACGAACAAGTGATGTTTTTTTCTTCCTTGGAACGATCCCATTAATGGAATTTTCATGAATCTCTGAGTTATAAGTTCTTCTTAAGATACCTCCTTGGCTACCACTGGTTTTCTTTTCAGGGAACACTTGTGTGTCTCTGCCTTCATCGCATTCATTTAGCATTTCGTCTTCGAAATGCACCATCGAAGTATTCTTTTGGGGTGTCATTTTACAGTTTTCCTGTTGTGGTTGTGACTTATCAGCTATACTTGTATTAGTTTCCTGGTTTTCTTTCAGTTCTTTCTCGGAAAAATCATCAAATTGTTCACACGGCGAATCATCTTCCTCAGTGATTGCCACATTTTCGTTCAGTTCACGAGCCGAATCAGTCTTGGCCCACGAGCCTCCCCACGTTCCATCTTCGTTGGGATTCAGAGAATTTTTCCTACTGCACATGTACTGTTCACTAATACTGCTGACCCCAGTAGGCGAGGGTGAGATCACTCCCAGCGTGATGGAGCTCACGGAAGGTCTCATGGGAATGTTTTTGTGCGGTCGGAACAGAATTATATAAATCTTCGGTGCAAAGATACTCGCCCACGTGAGAGTTCCAAGAAACATAAGCATGAAACACGAAATAATTGTCCGATACCAGCCTGAGGTACCCATGTATGACGGAATATAGACAAGGACAGTAATACATAGTGTGGTCATGTTAAACGCAATTAATCTAGACTCGTTATAATTATGTGGCACTTTCCTTACAAGAAAAGCTTGATATGTGCACACGACGACCAAGCCTGCGTTGTAGATAAGCCACAAAGAAAATCCAATGTGACTTCCGCTCAAGCTGCAGATAAGAGAGGCATCTTTAGAAGCCTTGGAATAGATTACTTGCGGGAACACTTGAGACGAGGAACCGAATACCCAAGCAACGGTGAGTACGAGCTCAGTGATCAACAAACATCCTAATATAAACATCTGCCAGTGGTTGCCAAGGCAACTGATTTTTCCTGTCCGAAGAAGCTTCTCATTAAAAATCCTGGACACTCGATTCGTTCTGATGAGAATTGTGCCTGGGAAAGATGAAAATGCAGAGGAAGGAGAAGAAATCATTTTAGTATTGAACACGAATGTCCACACTAACTTTCAAAGACAAAGAGACCAATGATTTTTTAAGCGTGATGCTAAAGTTAAATCGATGGAAAAGTTACATGCCGTAACAGCCTCAGAGCAGGTCCTTCATTACGAGCACGGTTGGACGCGCGTTTTCCTCCGCAGGGTGGCATGGGGAGGGGGGGAGGGTTAAGACGAGTTGGGAAGAGGTTTGCCGGGTCTGGCTCTACTACAGACCACTCACTGGCTCGTGTTATTCAAGCTTCATAATTTTTACGCAGGCGCAGAAACGATCTTACCGAAGCGCTGATAATAAAGGCCTGGTTAGAGGCTGATGCCGCAACAGCAACAGTACTTACCAACCACCAGTACAAAGCAGAGCCCAAACATAACTGGAAGAATTCTACAGGTGACCGCTGAAGGCTTGGCGATGTATAGAAGAGGTGTCACGTAGAACATTGCAATTCCCAATAGAAGGAAGTAGCATAGTTGTCTGCTAGCAGCTAGCACCACCGGTGTTGCGCGAAATTTTATGAATACAACGCCAGTGAGTATCACAATGATCAAACCAAATGATGAAAAGAAGACGATCACAACTGCCCAACTCTCACCCCAGTGGAGGTAGGTCGCTTCGATGAGACGACACGCCGAGTGGTCAGCGGTGGGCCAAGTTCCTTCTGGGCAATAGGAACATTTGGTCATGTGTGACGTATTGGTAAATGATTTCCCGTCGCACCTTGCACAATCCCAGCAGCATTCCGGGAACTGGGATTTTGGAATCTTGTATTCGCCTGGCGTGAAAGAGGAAATAAACAACAATTACGGAGCGAAAGGAGAAGAAACGTGAAAGGAGAGGTTTTCACGGCTGGGGAATGGACCTTTATTTAGTGATAAAGACACCAATTGTGAAATCTTTTTGTTGGTCCAAAAAGAAGAGAGTGGATAACGCAAAGTTTTTCTTAATTTTGAGTTTATTTATTTCCGGTACCACCCTTTGTGACGCTTTCTTTCTTTGCATGTGGTCGTTTCGTACCCACGCACGTTTCGTACTCAGTCAGTTATTAACCAGCGTGCAGTCTGATCAGTCAGTTTTTACCTAAACTAATAATGATTGTTTTCCATGTTTTGTACTTTAAGGGTCAGTTTCTTATCTGCCGGCTCAACTGAAGTTTTGTTTCTTTGGTGTTTATTTTTAATACACGACCATTGAATGTAACTTGTTTAGTGGGTACGAACCGACTCAAACTGGGTACGAACCGACTCAAACTGGGTACGAACCGACTCAAACTGGGTACGAACCGACTCAAACTGGGTACGAACCGACTCAAACTGGGTACGAACCGACTCAAACTGGGTACGAACCGACTCAAACTGGGTACGAACCGACTCAAACTGGGTACGAACCGACTCAAACTGGGTACGAACCGACTCAAACTGGGTACGAGCCAACTAAGTGGGAGACGATCCGATACCCTTCATTTCTTTGCCTCACCGAAATTGCCTCATGAGGAAGACTTTCCAATAGTTAGTTTCAAATTGCACGAAGTGCACGTCTTGAGTAAGCCTTTACTTGGCTACTTAATAGCGAAAGCCTTAAAACTGTAAAGACGAACAGCACACTCGTACCTTTCCTGCAATAGTTACTGCAGACTGAAGCCGGCAATGGAAAATCAGGTCCATGTTGTGAAATTCTCGATAAATTAAGGCTTAGTGCAGTCTGACTCCACGAACCCACTTTGATGTACTTGCTGCTTTCTTTGTCCAGATAATAAACATCGTATCTTCCCTTTGTAGTACCCTCTTCGTTAAAGAAGATATTTTCTTGAGAATATCCTTCAAACGATACATTTTGAATGAACTGTGAAAGATCCCGGATGTCCACATCCCTCCATTTCTTAGCGCACGCTTTTTTGTCACAGCTGAGCATTTCGTGTAGCGCATGCGCCACTGAAAATACCGCGTCCAATATGTAAGCGACATACCCATCGTGATGAACTTCTGATTGACACCTTTCAACGCTTTTATCACTGCAAATTAAACTTTTATTGCATTCGGAAGCCCATGGATTTCTACTGTTGTTTTCCTTGAGAGTTTCAAAGAAGTAGGCGTCAAATTTTGGCATGGAAACGATCGGAGGCCTCAAACCGATGATCGCTTGGAAAACATCACTGGAGCCTTGAACCACTTCTGTAGACCCAACCCAGCTGTCAGTCGCAATAAACACATAATTCCTTAACGATGCCATTTTTGCCTCTTTGAAAAAGTACACTGCATCTGGAAATTCAGCATAGAGAATTATAACTTTTGCTCGTGGAAATTGTTGGATCTTTCTAAAGATACGAGTCATTTCATATTGACTCCCTTTCCTTGAAAAAAGTTTATCGACTACTACGCAGATCTGAACTCGAGTCGTGTAATTTTGTATCGTCTGCTTCAAGGCTGTGACACCTGATCGCCCGTATTCGTTATCGGACGCGAGAACGATGACAAAATGCCACCTAAATTCATGAAGAAGGGAAGTAATTGCTTGAGCCTGGAGGTTGTCTGACGGAACCGTTCGGTAGAAGTACTGGAACCGAGACCTGTCACTGAGAAGACGACTCGTTGAAGCATAACTAATTACAGGCACGTGGAAAAGGCCTGTAAGGCTTGCTGTTGCCATGGTTACGCCACTAAAAGCTGCTCCAACGATAGCTGCTGTGCGAGACTTACTTGAACAGCAACCTAAATAAAGTAATGTGTTTTTTATTAAGAACAACACCATAGAAACTTGTATACAAGACGAGCTATTCTCGCAGCAAAAGCGAGTCAGAACGAACAAATAACTTTGTATTTATCACAGTAATGTTCGAGAATCAATCAAATCCGAAACAGAAACATAGAAAAGGCTGGGGTTTCTCAAAGAATCGATCACGGCCGCTTATAATACTAGGGTAATTATTGAGGGTAAATTCGGGCGAAAGATTAATATTCTCTTGATTCCCATTCGACTTTACGTTTGGTTAATTTTCTTTCTCAAATTTTCTCAAATAGAAGTGCTTACAAGGCTGCGTGGGAAAACAACCTTGATTTTCATATTCGGATTAAATCAACACCTTGTATCAGGTCAAAAAGGTAAATTCGCAGTCCTTTGCGGTTACAGTTATATATAAGAAATTTCACAATTAACGAAACCCCTCATTGCGATTCAAAAGCCTCTTAGTCCGTGAGCACTAACCTGAACCCCTAGAAATAGTTTTACAGTTATTACAGAAACGCTAAGACAAAACGAAGGTTTTCCGTTTAAAAGTGTCTAATGTTGTGTCTAATGTTGTGTAAGTACTAAAAGAGGGTAAAGATGTCACAGGAACATGATAATGGATAACCATGGCGAAATATGAAAATTTAAAACATTGCAATTATGTATGGACCCCTCGATGTATTATTCGCCAAAAAATGTTTATTGTTTCTAAGTTTTAACTAGAGACAAATAAGCTTACGCATTTCACGGAAGTTTATGAAGTCGCAGCGAATATATTTAGATTTTCGGAGTTAAATCTTTAATTAAATACGGATTCACTTGTATTTTCTTATTCCACAGCAGACACTAATGCGCAAAAACAAAATTAATTTTTCATGCAAGTGGTTGGTCTAGCAAAGTATGGCCACAAGGCCATTAGTTATTTTATTAGTTGAAATATTTTTTCTTTATCTAGGCCAAAGTAACTTCGTTTCAAATACTTCCCTCTACACAGAATTTTATAATTAATTTTAAGTAGGGTAAAGAATAGACTTTGAATTTAGGATTGTTTTAATTTCAACTAGTTAGAGTTTATCCCGGTTTTGTTCAACAAAAACATACAAATTATCGAGGAGTTTGCATTACTAATGAACCAAAGTTTTGCACGGCATTTAGTCAAAATATTCTTCAGTAAACGCGCCTTGTTTCCACTCTACAAAATTGATCCAGTTAATTTTGCAATTAAGGTTTTACTCATCTGGAATGAAGGAAAAGACGTGATATTTCTATTACGTGTGTGATCTGTGAAGTGCTTTCAAGACACTTTGCATTCGTCGTATTTATTCAGCTTGCTATAAACAAGTAGAACGACATTTACCAAAACTCAAATTTATCTCAAGCGTGTTTATTGAACACTGACTTGGAAACTGTAAGGCAGATCGAAAAATTTTACAGAAAGTTAATCCTGAAAATATTCAGCAATACTTAGAAACTATGACTTAAGTCGAAAATATTAAAAATCATGTTAATTTTGAAAGTACCTGAAAAACATCTAATCTAATTTGCTTTATAGATATATCTCACTTATTGGCGGGCAAATTATTGGCAAAAATTCATAATTTTTAATGCATTTCACCAAAGGTTCTTCAAATTCTGAGAGGTATACTTTGCGGTTTCGCATTGACAGTTTCGAGAGTGGTTGACAGGCACGATTATGGTCATATTTCAGCATTTTTTTCTTCCTGTTTTTTGAGAACGGAAGCCACAATCTGCTGTCGGAAAAAAATTAAGATTTCATTCAATACAGACTTCTCCACGAACGGAGAGCTTTGGACAGGTTGAAAGCTCTGTCAGTTTGCGAAATATAGTTGTGACAGCTACTGCATGCTGTCTTGTCGTGGGCGTAACTTTAAAAAATTTTTTAAAAGGGTTTTAATCCGGCGTATTTCTTAATTAAAAAGTCAAATTTTAAGAAAAAGAAGCCTGTTTGGCCTAAATTTCTATGAAATCTGCTTTGTGATTTGTACTCAGTGTTATGGGCATTTAAATTACGTAAACCTTGCTAAAACTTGCCAGATATCTTGGTTTTCGATTGGATGCAATATTTTATTATTATCCATTTTAAAGTCGATTGAATGAAAATGTAGATAGATGTTTCAAACACAACAGGCTTCAAAATAAATTTTTTTTCAGAACTAATTACACTAATGGGAAACTAAATAATTTTTTTTAGGTAACAAATACAAAAAAATTTTGTTTCGTTTAAGAACCGGCTGCAATCCACCCTCCCTGTATGAAGTTTGAACTTGATTTCGAGAGACTGAACTTCATGCGCATGCATATCGAAACTGAACTGTCAGTTCTAGATCGTGAGTTAAGCAAAGTAGAAACACTGGATATAGTGTTTGTGTACACAACTTTTAAAGTTGGTCGTCTGTGCGAAATACATGAAATGATTCAAATGGAAGGCAGAGACTGGAAGTCAGATGTTTTCTTACGACTTTTCACGTCGTCGTTGTAGTTAAAACACATTTGTAAATTAGATGGCGTCTAAAAACACTGGACGCGATAGAGACTGTCATTAGCGTGAATATAGAGCAAATAAACGAGCTGTTTGACTCAGTGGGTCAATTCGCCACAATACAGAGAACAAGAAGCCACGGTTTAAAAAATTATCTGGCGCGGTAGCGGGTTATTTTGTTTACGTGCGTATGAAATTGAATAAATTGCGTTGAATAACGGAATCGCGCTCGATATTTATCAGAAAATGTAATATGGATGACAAAACTTAAGAAATAAAATTGAACTCAAGCGACTTTCAGCCAACATCAATAAAACAAACCTGACATATCACCATCGTGTCTCTTCGAATCTTTCTTTCCTGACATAGGTCTATCACTGGCTTTAGGTTTGAGTACCGAGTGCTTTTCGCTGGATGAATCCTCTGCGCAATCAAGAAGCTCTGAAGCAACATAAGCGCTTCTGATAAAGTCGAAACTCAAGCTTTCCATAATTGCATAATCCACACTTCCACATGTATCTTTTACATCAACTCCCAGAGTTACATTTGGCAGCAACGTAGTGTTTTTGTTTATGAGGTCTATCGCGTATAGCATAGCTTCTACTCCTTTGAACCCGCGCAAATGGAAGGAACCCTGGCATGAAGAATTTCCAGGATGCGGCGAAAAGTTGGGCGAGAAGTGAACGGGTATTAAGCCGCCAATTATGATGTCACCCGCGGTGATAATTCCTGTTTTTGAACGTTGTTCAGAGCGCGCGAATGTAGAGAACAAGAAAACCGTCAAGACTTGAGCAGAGATCAGAAGTTGGCATATTTGGAGATGTACCCTCATCACTGTGGCTAAAGGCGGAGGAACTGTTCAACTTGCTTCATGTGCGCAGCGCTAGCCAGCCCCTTCTCCGTCTTTCACGCGCTCACGCGACCTGAGGGAGGTCTTCCTGTTTAATAGCATGAATTTGTTGTTTCAAGGAATTGACATTTTATCGAGCGATCATAGGAAGTGTCATTTGACATCATCAGGTTTTGTTTAATTAGGACATGACAGGCGAAAAATTGAAATCAATATCGAACTAAAGTATCGTCACCTTTTCGATTTAATTACAAAACATCACCTGTCTTGGATCGTCTTGGATAGGTATGGTGTGCGCTTGCGCGTTCGTGTCGAGGAGTTTTAGGGAAAGCTGCACATAAAGTGTGTTCAGTTCATAATGATTTCTTCAGTCGAAAGACAAGATTCTTCGCGGAAAATTAACTTCGGGAAGAGACTAGTTCCATTCACCTCCCTATCCTCATTCCTCGCACAATTATCTGTCTCTTAGATACAGAAACTACCTTGATAAAACTCTTCCCCAAGTTCTTTCAGTCTCTTCCAACTCTCAGGCAAAAGTAATGTGATTCGAGTGGCATGGGGACGAACTTGTGGAAATCTTCCTTCTCGGACAACTCTATGAAAATGGTTAGCGTGATATTATGGGATAGATGTAACTATGAAATGAATTTTGCAGTTTTTTGACTCTCCTATTTAGTGAATGTGATTTAAGCATACAAACCACAGTAATAATCTACCTACAGCATTGTAATCGCCGGACGAGTTACATGAGTGGAATAAATTAGGAACGCGAAAGAAAATTGCGAAGGGACCGACAACGGTTGTTTGCATGGCCAGCTGCGGTATTGGCCTTTCTGAAAAGCTGTATGTAGAGGAGCTTCAAAACCATGTAGTTCAAATTCTAATGCTCGCAAGCAATGAACATGTTATCGATGAGTTGTTCCGGGCACCAGGTTGGCGTAAACGTGGTTTAGGAAAGAGAGGGTAGCAGGTAAAAAACACAAAAATGGTAACGTTCCTTAATCACAAATCTGGAGTTTAACCCGTCATGGGTTGGGGAGGGGGGGGGATGAAGAGGAGCTAGGAGAGCCACGGGAGATGTTTGAGGAAAGAGAGGGTAGCAGGTAAAAAACACAAAAATGGTAATGTTCCTTAATCACAAATCTGGAGTTTAACCCGTCATAGGTTGGGGAAGGGGGGGGATGAAGAGGAGCTAGTAGAGACACGGGAGATGGTTTAGGAAAGAGAGGGTAACAGGTAAAAAACACAAAAATGGTAATGTTCCTTAATCACAAATCTGGAGTTTAACCCGTCATAGGTTGGGGAGGGGGGGGGATGAAGAGGAGCTAGTAGAGACACGGGAGGTGGTTTAGGAAAGAGAGGGTAGCAGGTAAAAAACACAAAAATGGTAATGTTCCGTTATCACAAATCTGAAGTAATAAATGGCAGGAGATGAAATTCAAAGAAGCGTGAAGTGAAGTCGGAGAGGGGAGATTTTCAAGCCAACAACTTCCTTAAACCATGACTTCAAACAACACTCTGAGAAAAAGAAAAATACTCCAACTCAGCTGATCACCATTTGACCGAGAATATTGATTGTCACAGATTTTTTTAAGCCTCCATCAGCACCAGAGGCGGTCTGCTTGTGGTGGTTCAGACTTCCGGGAGCCAGTCAATCCACTGAGCGTTGTCGGCTCAAATTGCGTCGTTGAGTCCTCTAAATACTGTGGATTTTAACGTAGGAATGGATTTGGTATATAATTAGCGATTAAGGGTTGAAGTACCCTATAAAAACATCATTCCTTATCACACTCAGTCCAGGCATACCTAAGAAATATATCATTCTTGTTCCTACACGAGCGTTTTATTATCGCTGACGTGTATTGCCTTGATGTCTTGTGACAAACACATGACTTACCCATAACCACTCGAGTCAAATATTGTCATCGCTTAGTAACCTGGCACGTGGAATCGAAGTTGGTGAGGAAGCGGCCTTGAAATAGCAGCATTTTAGAGCAATGGAGACCTTGTCGCCCATTATGAAGGCGGTCTTGTTGTGGTTGGGTCTGTGCACACGTTTTGTGTCTGTGAGGACGACGACGCCAGCTCCCGAACAAATGTGTCCCCAACATCAATATATTGACCCAAACGATGTGAACGAGAGAATTAAAAAGTTATCGGGGCAAAAGTGAGTTGTGAACACGTTATCACTTTTACTTCGCTTTCTTTCTCGATTTTATAAGTATCCTTCGAAAGAAACTATGCAAACTGGGAGTTGTGCCTTGAAGGAAGTTAGATTTATATTTAAGTCATTATATTTGGGCAAAAGGAGGAATTGGCACGTGTTAAAATGACGTCTAGTTTAATAATATTTAACTTAAAATTACAAGTTTTGTCATTTCTGTTTAAAAGTCATCTAAGCTAAGGAGGAATTTAGGAATGTTACAGTCAAGTGTACAGCAAAATTGCGAAAATTTTTGATAAATTTGCTCAATAATTGAGAGGAAATTCGTATACGACACTAAACATATTGTAGGTAGCTATGAAACCGAAATTGGAAGCCATTTCAATGTTGCATTGCCTTGCAATTTGTCACGCAATTTATAAGAAACATGTTACTTTTCATTCCCTTCCTCAAGAATATGAACAACTGAAACTATTTTGATGACTCAAACACCCATAGACTAAATCTGATTTAACACCTTAACTCCATTGAGTTTCTTGCGCGACAATATTACCATTTAATTATATAATTGCTGTAGTTTAAATTTCATTTCTGTAGTAAAATTTTAATTAACTGTATATAAAACTCGGCAAAATGTTTTTTGATCAATCAGAATTTTAACTACAAGTTAAGAGATTTAGTATCTGATTGGATACAGATTGATGTGAACCTGTCCCCTTGGAAGAGTTGATGTTTTTACATTTTAACAACATCATATTATGCCAAATGTTTATAAGAATAAAATGCATTCACTGTAGGAAGCTTCATTCCTGTAGATCATAGAAATTTCACTCCAGTTGCAATAAGTGAGATATTCTGTACAATAAAGAGTAGAACCCAGTGAATAAATTGTTATGGTATGATATCACCAGCAGAAAGAATACAAAATCCCTATTAACCCAACTTTTCTATTAAAAAAACATGTCTCAAGTTACAAGTAATTGTTATGAAGAAGCAGCTACCATAGATTTAATAACAATAATGATCCTTTTTAAACTTACTTAACCCCATTACAGACTGTAACTTAGTTCACCTGACACAAACTCACCATTATACATATACAGTATACTACCTCCAAATGTTCTAACATACACTTTCTGTATTTTTCCAAAAAACTGAGCTTGCACAAGTGTTTGTCACATTTATATCAGATCTCAAATTGTTTTTACTGTTTTATGCTTAACGGTTAACAAGTGAGTTTTTGTTTTTTAGGATTTACTTTGCAAACGATGATGACTATTCATATAAAATATCAATCTGTAAGCAAGGTGCTTCAGACACCGCTGCAGTTCAGCAACATGGCGTGAAGTGGAAAGAATCAAATTGGAAGATAATAGGAACCTTCAATGGTGCCCATGTTACTGGAGGAAGTAAGTCATGTGATCAAAACTTAATACATGCATAATTGTGTATAAACATCAGAGCACAGATAAAGTACACAGATTTTAACCCTTTTCCTCACTTTGTGACCAAGACAGAGTTTTTCATTTTCATAACATTACAAAATCAAGCAGATAAGTGATGAGAATAAAGAAAATATCTATTAGAGGATTTTTATCATTATTTGAACTTTAACAATAAATGTAAAATTTCATTTTCTCAGCGGACTGGCTGATGATAAAATACTTCCATGGAGAGGTGTATACCAACCACTGCAAAGGCTTAGAAAGAATTAGTATTGTGTTAATGACATGTGACCCAGGGGTTGAGAGGGTGAGTGAATTATTACTTATTGTGGCTGATAGGGCTTGGTTGATAACGAATACTTATCAGATGGCTGACAGCACCCGTAGGCAAGATTAGGGGAATCTTGTGTTCTGATTAGCCAATGGGTGGACAAGATGATTGCCTGCTTTGATCATATATGTGACAAAATTATTAAATAATTGAATTATTCTCCAAAGTAGGAATCTTACATATTTTCTAGGTCAATACTTTTGAAATCACCAAATTTATGTTTTATTGTAGAAACAACTTATTGCCTCTGTTGTTTCTCAATCTTTTTGTAACAAATAGCCAAATTCACAATTATGGTACCAGCCTGTAATTATTGAACACACTTGTGCCGTACAAATCTCTAGCAATATAATACTCTACCAAGGTCCTAAAATTTGGAACAGTTACTTGTTCGTCAAACATTGCTAGCTTTAAGACAAAAGTGCAAGAGTTTTAACTTAAATAAAGTTGCACATTTGCAACACTTTTTCCTTACTTAATTTATGATTGTAAGGGCTCGGCCATAAGCCCAGTGGCTTCCTGGGTCTCCTTGCCTTCTAGTTGTTAACCCTGTAAATAAATTTTTGTGTTGCTAAAATAAGGCAAATAAAGATGATGATGATGATGATGATGATGATTGGACAGCACTCTCTAGAAGATAAGGATTTCTTTCTGGTGACCATGTTAATCAGCTCTGTAGTTTAAAAAAAATGAACTTTAATCTACAGTATGAGGGAAAAAATTTGTGCCAGGTTTTGTTTTTTGTGCTTCCTCTGGGCAGAAATAATGTTTTTGCTAGCAAAAAAGAATCTTTAAGGTTTTTTTGTCTCTACAGTACCGCTCAGATATACATTGACTACACAGACACATTTCATACGCATTTGATATGTACATCTTGGAAAGAAAGATTTCAGGAGAAGAAAATTGTCTGTGTTAGTTATTTTGGTTTTTGCTTCCTCTGTGGATAGATAACATGTGCAGCTGTATTAACTTGGAAAAAAATCTTTATGTTTTGTTTGCTTCTAAATCCAGGAAAGATTGGATTTTATAATTTTTTCCAGGGAACCATGCGTGTCATTGAAGAATATAGGAACCAAAGTAAAATAGGAGATCTAAAAAACCCACTGGAATGTTACTACCTGTTTGAACTTAATAATGATGCAGCATGCACAGTGAAGCCAAAGCACTTGAGTGCTGGATCCATTATGTTGATTATGTAAGTATTGCACTTTTTGACAAAGGTTGCTTACTTTTTTCTGAATTACACAAAAGTCATGTAATTATTAGCTACAGTAGAACCCAGCTTACTTAAACTCTTAAGGGAAATGGAAAATGGTGCAAGTTAATCAAGTTGGAGTTATAGTTGTCAGTAACTGCAGGGCGTGAAATTGCGCCTAATACAGGCGCCAATGCGACTAAATTTTTCACTTTGGCGACCAAATCCTGAAAGTTAGTCGCCAAATTGGCGACTAGAACGTTTCATTATAACCTTACCAAGAGATATAGAGAATTTAAAAAATTTGCAAAGGTAAATCCGCGGCAAACTTCTTCGTTAAGTTTGTTTCCAAAACGTTGCACATGCATCTCGATCGATAACTAAACGCCATCTTGGATTTAGATAAGCCTGAACGTTGTATATCATCCATCCTAGTGTCCACTTTGTAGCACGTTAAAGATCTTTTCCCTAACTTAATTTTGAAGGGCCTATCTAGAACGCTGACGGCGTAAAGAAAGATTTTGTTTGTCTTTGAAAATGGCGACCAACTTTTTTTGAATTGGCTACCACTTTGAAGAATTTAGGAGCCAAGTGGCTATCAGAAAAAAAAGTTAATTTCACGCCCTGAACTGATAGTAAACATCTGAAATGGGTCAAATCTGAGGGAACTTGGATCTTGTCTGTGTTAGCAGGGGTTTGAGTTAACCTGGTTAGAGATTGTAGGGATTTACTGTTTATCTGCAGCAAAGAAAATTAAGAAATTAGGATGATATGGGTGCACAATTTCACAACGTTGGTGGGCTTGCTTACTTTCATTGAATTACACCTAACTTATTAACTACAGTTCTGTAGAACCTTGCTAACTTGAACACTGAAGGGAAACAAAAAGTGGTTTGAGTTATTCAAGGTTAAGTTACTGTTTTTAGGTGATAGTTAGTTACTGGAAAAATGGGGTCAATTCTGAATGAACTTGGATCTTTTCTGAGTTAGCAGGGTTTGAGTTATACTGTAACCAGGTTGGAGTGGAACTGGTTAGAATTCTTAGGGTTCCACTGTACTGTGCATCAGAGAAAATCAAGAAATCAGATTGACACAAATGCACAATTTCAAGGGAGAATTTTTTGGGAACTAAAAATTGCTTTTTCTGGGGTGGGGTGCAGTGTGGAAAAAAAAAAAAAAAGGAGTCAGAGTGTCCCCTCCCCAGAGTACTTTTGTTTGCTCTGATTTGCCAATTAAAGCCAATCTGAGTTTGAATCTCAACAATTAAAATTAAAAAAATAAACCTCTAAGGAAAAATCAAGAACTTACTTACAAGCTTTTTTTTTTAATTAAACCAATTAAATAACCCATTGACAATAACTTCTTCTTCATTGCAGATTGATCGTTGTGGGCTCCATTTACTTAATTCTTGGTTTCTTGTACCAAAGATTTATGGTTGGTGCTAAAGGAATGGAGCAGATACCTAACTACAACTTTTGGAAAGACTGTGGAAGTCTGCAAGCTGTAAGTTTTTCTCTTTTTTCAAACTATCTACAATGGTTAAAGGGGGTAAGTTTCTAAAGAAACTGTGGTGCTGTGTCAGTGAGAGAGTATAACTGGGTAATTTAATGTTATTGACTGAGTTGATAGCGTAAATTGGCCTCTGTAAAGAGTTAAAAGATTGACATTTCGAGTGTTAGCCCTTCATCAGAGTGATTGGAGGAATTGTGGGTTGTGTGTGGGTTTAAACCATTTAGTTAATAACACTCAATACCCTATCTACAATGGTGTTAGTGCGTAATGATTTTGAGGCACAGTGGAAGTTGGCTTAATCTTTTTTTCTTGCCATTTGAGAGAGATTTTGTGTTGAGTCGTTAGTCAAATAAGAGTTTTCTTGTTGGTCTGTGTAGGTCAGAAGACTTCTTTGTAAATGAACACAAAGTAACAAATTGCATCCAAACTTTCCCAAAATCAAAATTCTTTTTTTACTTTAATTTGTTTTTTGTTTTGGTTTGCTTCTTTTCTGTGGGAAAACGACTAAACAGTCAATCCAAATTAGCAGATAGCACGTCTCATGCAAAATACTTTATTTCTCAGTGGTTACTTGTCTTTGGGAAAATTTTCCTACTTCTTCAAGGTCAAGTTACCTTCAGTGGTGTGATTCTAAGTACTGTTTTAAATTTTGTTTTTTTTCCCAGGATGGATGCAATTTTATGTGTCGGTGTTCAGAGTCAAGCCCAACGAGATACAAGGTGGGCTGTCAAAGTGAAATCCTATGTCTCAATTATATAAATGGTTCAAGGCACAAAGGCATAGTTAGCAGTATTCTGTAACAAACCATCTCTCTGCACAAGCTGGAGTGAGGTCACACTGCCAGAGGTCCCCATTGGGTCAAATACTTTTCTTTTTTTCTTCATAATGCAGGCAAGCCATTTCAAAAATCACATGATGGCAAACACTTTGGGACAAACCACATAATTTCACTAACATCAGAATTCCTCTTTTGTTATAAATCTAAAACACCATTCAAAGTTAAACCTAGGGTAAAACAGACTACTGCCTTGTACATACTTATCTGCTTCCTTTGCACCTGTTTTTTTAAGCATGTTTTGAAAAGGTGCATGCATGTGCATGCTTTTTGTAAATGTGCCTTTTGCATTCATTTTGGGCCATGCACCTCTGAGCTGTCCTGAAAATAAATTTTAGCCTGCAAGCAGGCGCTTATTATGAACCCTTCAGCATGATGAGCATTTCTCCCTGTGGGCGGGCTAGTGATAGGTCTAGCACTGATAATGCCAGACCCTCAGCAAACCTCTCCCTGACTTGTCTCAAACATTCCTGAAGCCAGAGAAATGCATGTCTTGCAGGGTTAATAGTAATCCAGGCCTGCTTAAAGGCTAGGAAGTTTATTCTTTTTAGTGTCTCTTTCTGCTGAGGAAATGGAACCCTCTGGTGGTAATGCTGTGTTGGGTGGGGGGGGGGGAGAGTCAGATGGGAGGTACCCCACCATAGTGAAGTTTCTCACCCAAGGGGGAAGTGGGGTGAAGGGGGTAAGTTTCTGAAGAAACTGTGGTGCTGCGTCAGTGGGAGAGTACAACAGGGTAATTTGGTTTTATCAACTGAGTTGATAATGTAAATTGGCCACCAAAAAGAGTTGCAAAGCTGATGTTTCGACCATTATGGCAATCCCATTTGCTCTGAGGAAAGGCTAATGCTCGGAAGTGGGGTAAGCCTGTTTCTCAGTGCTTTACCAGCATGGCCAGCAATTTGTTTCAGGGGATAAGCTTGTCGCAGGCATTAAGTATCATTGGTTTTTCTTCAAATTCTGTAATTGTCTAGAAAATTACTGCTACCTTCTTAACCAATGAGATGGAATACCAATTGCAACTTGGTTGCTAGCATTTTCCTGCACTTCAGGCCATTTCCTTGTTTTTTCCTAGTTTTCATTTGCTCCTAGGGATATTTCCCTTTGTTCTGATTGGCCATTCTGATTACTGTGGTTTTGGTTGTACAACACTAATCGAAATGTGCTTTTTGCTAAGGGAAAGTGGCACAAGTTCCAGCCAGATGGGACATTAAGCTCGTAACATGACCATGAACCTTAAGGCTCATGTGTGTGATTTTGTATTCTGATTTAACTATTGTTAAATTTAATTTTTTTCCTCTTAGGCAATGGATGATGCCTTAGCAGATGATGACAGAGATGATACATTGCTTCCAATGTAGACTTTTTTTAAATACTCCATATAAGTCACATAGTTTTGTGTGTACATCTAAATGTACTGATGATAATCCTCACCTTCTGTCATTTGGATATAATGATTTGTTGTGGAAAAGAGAGAGGAAGAGATATCCTTGATTTGTAGTAGGATCTGCTTATCAAATGGTGAAATTGCATGTTCATGTAGCTATCTTTTTTCAAAGCTAAAACTAATGGATGATGAATTGATATAGGATGAAGAAGATTTAAGTACTATAAACAGATAATTAACCAAATGTTACTCTTTACATCAGGAGAATGCCTCTTATTTCTTGACGTTTTCTCCTTTTCTATATTTATTCTTTAAAGGCTAAAAGCAGAGGTAAGCCTGAGACAAGCATGAGGTGTGAGTTATGCACTCTCCTCTTACTCGTCGCGTGATCATGGGTGATTTGCCCCCTGTGTTTGTCACATGCTTACCTCTTTTATCATGCCAAACATTTTTGTCTCTGTTTTCTTTAGGCTATATGTGGTGTATAGGCAAGTTTTCTTTTCAGTGTTTAACAATTATGCAAAGTTTAGGTGGTAGCCTTCTAGGAAATGTATTTGGATTAAAAGTCAGAACTCAGGTACCTTTTCTTAAAAGATGACGGAGAAAGTCAATACAATCATAGAACGTGTCATGAATCTTTAGATTAGGCATCTTCTACCCTTTGACCCTGAATCAAACATTAAGGTCACAAGAACAAACTAAGGAAATGATCACCAACTTACAGTGTTCTCCCTTATTTTAAGCATGACAGGTAAATTGATTTTTTCAAACTGTTAAAGCAATCCTTTTACGAGTTGAATTTTCAAGAATTCCAAGCAATTTTAAACGGTAGTAAGAGGTAGTACAGGTGGTAAATGTTACCGGTTACTGCCTGAAAAGGAGAACACTGAACTAAACAAGCTCTTAAATGTTTATCAGCACCTCATAAGAATTGGGTAGAGAGAAGTAAAGAGAAAATACACACTGACTTTGTGGTGTAAAGGGTTAAATAGTTTTTGATTGAGTGTTGATTGAGTTGTCACAACCTACAGCTAATCATAATCAAGAAAAAATATCATAGGAAGGCAATGAGAATTTTTAAGTAAAAAATGAACAATTTGCCTGAGGTGCAGATGAGAAAACATGGGTGACTTAGTCTGGATTGGTTTTAATTTTGCACCTGATGGTTGAGAGGCTAATGAAAATTGTCTACTCTTATCATAAGAAGAAAGGTAATCTGTAATTACTTTCAACACTCAATTGAGAGCATTAAAAGTTATTTGCAAATACAAAGGACCTCTTGCAAGTCAAAAGATGAAACAATCTCAAGAAGCTGTTCGAGTTTCATTCACAAATACTGTTGTGTAGAAGAGTTCTACTCTAAAGAGGAGGTTTGAATATTTTACAAGTAGAAATACAGTTAGACGAAGCTTTGTGTGAAAGACAACAAACACTTATCCAGAATAAAAAAGGTTATTAGCTTTCTTTACGTCTTGAGTGAAAAAGTCATTTGTAACTCTGTTGAGTCTTTTGATGCCAGCATGAGTCAAGCCTAGTGACTGAGAAAAATATAGATTTTTTATCAGCCACTTTCTATCACTGGCTCTCCTATGTTAAATTTGCCACTCTCTATTCCCTCATGGATGCTTTGCTTGAGTTGTTTATTTGATTGCATCACAGGCACGGAAATTTCTGCCCCCTTTTGCTTCCTCATAGCTCTGCGTACCCTGAATCCTGGAAAATTAATCAAACCTTTTGTTACACGAGGCTAGAGAAATGATAAAAAAACCCATGAAAGAATTATAGGGTCACATATTCATCATTAACTTGACTTAGACTGTTGTATGCATTCTTATTACTTCAGGCCTACTTCTTCTAATGTTTTTCTAATTTGTAGTCTAATTAAACTGATGAAAATGATAATTAGCAGTATTGCTGGTACTTCTAAATTCTAAATTCTAAATTTTAACTCTTAAATCTCACTGTTCTTTAATTAATAAATCAAATTTTGTTCAATCCTAATACACAATTTCTTTTGCTTATAAATGATATTGCAGAGATGTAACTCTCCACTGTTGGCTTAGTTACAAATTTACCACTTTTTTTACCTGTAAGGCCATCCTCTGAATTGAGATGCACTTCTGATGGGGGCTTAAATCGGGTAATGTCTGCTCTTTTTGACTGTAAAAAGGCTTTGACTAATTGCCCTCCATTGCCAGGTGTCGAATCACTTCCCCTGGTTTTGATGTTGTACATTCTGGCCTTTTCTGACCAGTTTGGAGGACCATCAGGCCATGACTCTACATCTGCTAGTAGCTGGTCCAACTTTCCTTCTATGTTAGCAGGTGAAGCTGTGTGGGATCGTTCCCTGACCTTTGGTGGGGTCGTTTTTGCTCTCTCCTTGGCCTCTTCAAAGGTTTCAAAGGACAGGGCCATTCTTTGGACTTGTCTTGAACTGTAAGACTGACGAAGGCTAAAGTGAACAGCACTGTCATTTTGTGACATTTTGGTCTCTAGTTCTTTTTTTGTTTGCCTTCGCTCATTTCTCTTCATTTTTTTCTTTTCAGCAGGTGAAGGCTTCTTTTGAAGACCAGCTTCAGGGACAAGTACTAGAATGTCACTAAGTGATTTTTGAAAGTTTTCCTGGCATTTTTCATTGTAGGTGGCATATATTGCTTCCCCAATGCTTTTTAATTTCCTTTTTGTGACCTTAGGTTCTCTCTGACATTGTCTCTTGATATTTGTGTTAAGTTCAGTCAGGGGTCCTTTCCTAGCCCCTCTGCAAAACTTACTTATTGGGAAGGTAGATTGTAATTGAGAGTTGAATAAAAGACAGGCCTGGCAGCTGGTCAACGAGTGATCTTTTTTCCCTTCTTTACTTATTACTTTGCCCTCATTCCAGTTCTTTGAGGAAAACGCTGTTAGGTATGCTTCTTTTTCGGTTTTGCTTCTCCAGTTGTAAAATTTTTCATCAATGGTTCTGTAATGCCGCATGAAGTCTTCCCGTTTCATGTGTAGCCCAGGGTATTCTTGAAAATGTTCATCGAAGATTTTAAATCCATCTTGCAGCAATCTAGCAGCAAACTTCGCATTTCCTTCACCGGGAATCCTTTCAGTTTTGCTTAAACTTTTAGTTTCTCTAAGAAACACTCTTGCCCAAGTACAGTCAATCTTTAAAGACATCTTTGTTGCCTTGGCAGAGGATATAGGATTTGATATTGTGTTCTGATTAAACACAAGTTAGAACTCTCCACGCTGCTACTTGAACTAGCTAACTGCTCGAAATTCAAGACAAATTGCGCGCCAAAAACTAAGGAGCTCATGTAACATGTAATACGAGCCGCGTTTGCGGACCACTTTATTCATTCATGAACTAATATAAAGTCTACGAAGGTTTGAATGGACCATTGCCATTCTTCATCGATTTTTTTATAAAAGAATTACGGAAATATTAAGAAAACACAACCTTGAAATGTATTTTGTAGCCTAGAAGAACACTGTAAATGGCTGTTAGGCACCCTAAAGTTAAAAATGACCCGATTTAATCTTAATTAAAGTCTAAGTAGAATCCTCTCCTTCGACTTCATTTTGTCTTGTGACAAACACATGACCACTCGAGTCAAATATTGTCATCGCTTAGTAACCTGGGACGTGGAATCGAAGTTGGTGAGGGAGCGGCCTTGAAATAGCAGCATTTTAGAACAATGGAGACCTTGTCGCTCATTATGAAGGCGGTCTTGTTGTGGTTGGGTCTGTGCACTCGTTTTGTGTCTGTGAGGACGACGGCGCCGGCTCCCGAACGAATGTGTCCTCAACATCAAAGGACTGACCCAAACGATGTGAACGAGAGAATAAAAAAGTTATCGGGGCAAAAGTGAGTTGTGAACACGTTATCACTTTTACTTCGCTTTCTTTCTCGATTTTAGAAGTATCCTTCGAAAGAAACTATGCAAACTGGGAGTTGTGCCTTGAAGGAAGTTAGATTTATATTTAAGTCATTATATTCGGGCAAAAGGAGGAGTTGACACGTGTTAAAATGACGTCTAGTTTAATAATATTTAACTTAAAATTACAAGTTTTGTCATTTCTGTTTAAAAGTCATCTAAGCTAAAGAGGAATTTAGTATTATGTTACAGTCAAGTGTACGGCAAAATTGCGAAAATTTTCGATAAATTTGCTCAATAATTGGGAGGAAATTCGTATACGACGCTAAACATACTGCAGGCAGCTGTGAAACCGAAATTGGAAGCCATTTCAATGTTGCATTGCCTTGCAATTTGTCACGCAATATATAAGAAACATGTTACTTTTCATTCCCTTCCTCAAGAATATGAACAACTGAAACTATTTTGATGACTCAAACACCCATACACTAAATCTGATTTAACACCTTAACTCCATTGAGTTTCTTGCGCGACAATATTACCATTTAATTATATAATTGCTGTAGTTAAAATTTCATTACTGTAATAAAATTTTAATTAACTGTGAATAAAACTCGGCAAAATGTTTTTTGATCAGTCGGAATTTTAACTGCAAGTTAAGAGATTTAGTAGCTGATTGAATACAGATTGATGTGAATCTGTCCCCTTGGAAGAGTTGATGTTTTTACATTTTAACAACATCATATTATGCCAAATGTTTATAAGAATAAAATGCATTCACTGTGGGAAGCTTCATTCCTGTAGATCATAGAAATTTCACTCCAGTTGCAATAAGTGAGATATTCTGTACAATAAAGAGTAGAACCTAGTGAATAAACTGTTATGGTATAATATCACCAGCAGAAAGAATACAAAATCCCTATTAACCCAATTTTTTTTTCCCAATGTCTCAAGTTACAAGTAATTATTATGAAGAAGCAGCTGCCATAGATTTAATAACAATAATGATCCTTTTTAAACTTACTTAACCCCATTACAGACTGTAACTTAGTTCACCTGACACAAACTCACCATTATACATATACAGTATACTACCTCCAAATGTTCCAACATACAGTTTTTGTATTTTTCCAAAAAACTGAGCTTGCACAAGTGTTTGTCACATTTATATCAGATCTCAAATTGTTTTTACTGTTTTATGCTTAACGGTTAACAAGTGAGTTTTTGTTTTTTAGGATTTACTATGCAAACGATGATGACTATTCATATAAAATATCAATCTGTAAGCAAGGTGCTTCAGACACCGCTGCAGTTCAGCAACATGGCGTGAAGTGGAAAGAATCAAATTGGAAGATAATAGGAACCTTCAATGGTGCCCATGTTACTGGAGGAAGTAAGTCATGTGATCAAAACTTAATACATGCATAATTGTGTATAAACATCAGAGCACAGATAAAGTACACAGATTTTAACCCTTTTCCTCACTTTGTGACCAAGACAGAGTTTTTCATTTTCATAACATTACAAAATCAAGCAGATAAGTGATGAGAATAAAGAAAATATCTATTAGAGGATTTTTATCATTATTTGAACTTTAACAATAAATGTAAAATTTCATTTTCTCAGCGGACTGGCTGATGATAAAATACTTCCATGGAGAGAAGTATACCCACCACTGCAAAGGCTTAGAAAGAATTAGTATTGTGTTAATGACATGTGACCCAGGGGTTGAGAGGGTGAGTGAATTATTACTTATTGTGGCTGATAGGGCTTGGTTGATAACGAATACTTATCAGATGGCTGACAGCACCCGTAGGCAAGATGAAGTGAATCTTGTGTTCTGATTAGCCAATGGGTGGACAAGATGATTGCCTGCTTTGATCATATACATGACAAAATTATTAAATAATTGAATTATTCTCCAAAGTAGGAATCTTATATATTTTCTAGGTCAATACTTCTGAAATTGCCAAATTTATGTTTTATTGTAAAAACAACTTATTGCCCACATTGCTTCTCAATCTTTTTGTAAAATTCACAATTATGGTACCAGAAGAGCCTGTAATTATTGAACACACTTGTGCCGTACAAATCTCTAGCAATTTATAATACTCTACCAAGGTCCTAAAATTTGGAACAGTTAGACAAAAGTGCAAGAGTTTTAACTTAAATAAAGTTGCACATTTGCAACACTTTTTCCTTACTTAATTTATGATTGTAAGGGCTCGGCCATAAGCCCAGTGGCTTCCTGGGTCTCCTTGCCTTCTAGCTGTTAGCGCTGTAAATAAATTTTTGTGTTGTTAAAATAAGGCAAATAAAGTTGATGATGATGATGATGATTGGACAGCACTCTCTAGAAGATAAGGATTTCTTTCTGGTGACCATTTTAATCAGCTCTGTAGTTTAAAAAAAATGAACTTTAATCTACAGTATGAGGAAAAAATTTGTGCCAGGTTTTGTTTTTTTTGTGCTTCCTCTGGGCAGAAATAATGTTTTTGCTTGCAAAAAAGAATCTATTAGTTTTTTTTGTCTCTACAGTACTGCTCAGATGTACGTTGACTACACAGACACATTTCATATGCATTTGATATGTACATCGTGGAAAGATTGAATTATGAGGGTACTATAAAAATGAACTTAAATTTTCAGGAGAAGAAAATTGTCTGTGTTAGTAATTTTGGTTTTTGCTTCCTCTGTGGATAGATAACATGTGCAGCTGTATTAACTTGGAAAAAAATCTTTATGTTTTGTTTGCCTCTAAATCCAGGAAAGATTGGATTTTATAATTTTTTTTTTCCAGGGAACCATGCGTGTCATTGAAGAATATAGGAACCAAAGTAGACTAGAAGATCTAGAAAACCCACTGGAATGTTACTACCTGTTTGAACTTAATAATGATGCAGCATGCACAGCGAAGCCAAAGCACTTAAGTGCTGGATACATTATGGTGATAATGTAAGTATTGCACTTTTTGACAAAGCTTGCTTACTTTTTTCTGAATTACACAGTAGTCATGTAATTATTAACTACAGTAGAACCCAGCTTACTCAAATTCTTAAGGGAAATGGAAAATGGTGCAAGTTAATCAAGTTGGAGTTATAGTAAGTTGTCAATAACTGATAGTAAACGTCTGGAATGGGTCAAATCTGAGGGAACTTGGATCTTGTCTGTGTTAGCAGGGGTTTAAGTTAACCTGGTTGGAGATTGTAGGGTTTTACTGTTTATCTGCAGCAAAGAAAATTAAGAAATTAGGATGACATGGGTGCACAATTTCACAATGTTGGTGGGCTTGCTTACTCTCATTGAATTACGCCTAACTTATTAACTACAGTTCTGTAGAACCTTGCTAACTTGAACACTGAAGGGAAACAAAAAGTGGTTTGAGTTATTCAAGGTTAAGTTACTGTTTGTAGGTGATGGTTAATTACTGGAAAAATGGGGTCAATTCTGAATGAACTTGGATCTTTTCTGAGTTAGCAGAGTTTGAGTTACACTGTAACCAGGTTGGAGTAGAACTGGTTAGAATTCTTAGGGTTCCACTGTACTGTGCATCAGAGAAAATCAAGAAATTAGATTGACACAAATGCAAAATTTAAAGGGAGAATTTTTTGGGAGCTAAAAATTACTTTTTCTGGGGTGGGGTGCAGTGTGGATGTCAAAAAAAAAAAAAAAAAAAAAAAAAAAGAGTCAGAGTGTCCCCTCCCCAGAGTACTTTTGTTTGCTCTGATTTGCCAATAAAAGCCAATCTGAGTTTGAATCTCAACAATTTAAATTAAAGAAATAAACCTCTAAGGAAAAATCAAGAACTTACTTACAAGCTTTTTTTGAAATTAAACCAATTAAATAACCCATTGACAATAACTTTTTCTTCATTGCAGATTGATCGTTGTGGGCTCCATTTTCATAATTCTTGGTTTCTTGTACCAAAGATTTAAGGTTAGTGCTAAAGGAATGGAGCAGATACCTAACTACAACTTTTGGAAAGACTGTGGAAGTCGGCAAGCTGTAAGTTTTTCTCTTTTTTCAAACTATCTACAATGGTTAAAGGGGGTAAGTTTCTAAAGAAACTGTGGTGCTGTGTCAGTGAGAGAGTATAACAGGGTAATTTAGTGTTATTGACTGAGTTGATAACATAAATTGGCCTCTGTAAAGAGTTAAAAGATTGATGTTTCGAGTGTTAGCCCTTCATCAGAGTGATTGGAGGAATTGTGGGTTGTGTGTGGGTTTAAACCATTTAGTTAATAACACTCAGTTACCTTATCTACAATGGTGTTAGTGCGTAATGGTTTTGAGACACAGTGGAAGTTGGCTTAGTCTTTTTTTCTTGCCATTTGAGAGAGATTTTGTGTTGAGTGATTAGTCAAATAAGAGTTTTCTTGTTGATCTGTGTAGGTCAGAAGACTTCTTTGTAAATGAACACAAAGTTAAACAAATTGCATCCAAACTTCCTCAAAATCAAAATTTTTTTTTTTTACTTTAATTTGTTTTTTGTTTTGGTTTGTTTCTTTTCTGTGGGAAAACAACTAAATAGTCAATCCAAATTAGCAGATAGCATGTCTCAAATGGCTCTCATCCTATGAAGGCAAAATACTTTATTTCTCAGTGTGTGGTGACTTGTCTCTGGGAAAATTTTCCTATTTCTTTAAGTTCAAATTACCTTCAGTGGTGTGATTCTAAGTACTGTTTTAAATTTTGCTTTCTTTTCCCAGGATGGATGTAATTTTATGTGTCGGCGTTCAGAGTCACGCCCAACAAGATACAAGGTGGGCTGTCAAAGTGAAATCCTATGTCTCAATTATATAAATGGTTCAAGGCACAAAGGCATAGTTAGCAGTATTCTGTAACAAACAATCTCTCTGCACAAGCTGGAGTGAGGTCACACTGCCAGAGGTCCCCATTGGGTCATATACTTTTCTTTTTTTCTTCATAATGCAGGCAAGCCATTTCAAAAATCACATGACAGCAAACACTTTGGGACAAACCACATAATGTCACCAATATCAGAATCCCTCTTTTGTTATAAATCTAAAACACCATTTAAAGTTAAACAAAGGGTAAAACAAACCTCAGCAAACCTCTCCCTGACTTGTCTCAAACATTTCTGAAGCCAGAGAAATGCATGTCTTGCAGGGCTAATAGTAATCCAGGCCTGCTTAAAGGCTAGGAAGTTTAGTCTTGTAAGTGTCTCTTTCTGCTGAGGAAATGGAACCCTCTGGTGGTAATGCTGTGTTGGGGGGGAGGGGGGAGAGGGAGGGATAGTCAGACAGGAGGTACCCCACCGTAGTGAAGTTTCCCACCCAATGGGGAAGTGGGGTGAAGGGGGTAAGTTTCTGAAGAAACTGTGGTGCTGTGTCAGTGGGAGAGTACAACAGGGTAATTTGGTTTTATCAACTGAGTTGATAACGTAAATTGGCCACTGTAAAGAGTTACAAAACTGATGTTCCAACCATTAGCCCTTCGTTATAGTGAATGGCAATCCCATTTGCTCTGAGGAAGGGCTAATGCTCAGGAGTGGGGTAAGCCTATTTCTCAGTGCTTTACCAGCATGGCCAGCAATCTGTTTCAGGGGAATAAGCTTGTCCCAGGCATTAGGTATCTTCAAATTCTGTAATTGTCTAGAAAATACTGCCACCTTCTTAACCAATGAGATGGAACCCCAATTGCAACTTGGTTGCTAGCATTTTCCTGCACTTCAGGTCATTTCCTTGTTTCTTTCCTAGTTTTCATTTGCTCCTAGGAATATTTCCCTTTGTTCTGATTGGCCATTCTGATTACTGTGGTTTTGGTTGTACAACACTAATCGAAATGTACTTTTTGCCAAGGGAAAGTGGCACAAGTTCCAGCCAGATGGGGCATTAAGCTCGTAACATGACCATGAACCTTAAGGCTCATGTGTGTGATTTTGTATTCTGATTTAAGTATTGTTAAATTTAATTTTTTTTTTCTCTTAGGCAATGGATGATGCCTTAGTAGATGATGACAGTGATGATACGTTGCTTCCAATGTAGAGACTTTGTTTAAATACTTCATATAAGTCACATAGTTTTGTGTGTACATCTAAATGTACTGAGTTTTCAAAACCATGGAGATAATCCTCGCCTTCTGTCATTTGGATATAATGATATGTTGTGGAAAATAAGGGAGAGGAAGAGATGTCCTTGATTTGTAGTAGGATCTGCTTATCAAATTGTGAAATTGCATGTTCATGTAGCTATCTTTTTTCAAAGCTAAAACTTTTTTTTTTTTATATTTTATCGTGTTTTTCCATTTTCCATTTTTAAAAAAAAAAAATTACAGCAGTATAAAGTAAATAAAATTGTATAAGGTCAGTAAATAAATAAATAAATAAATAAACAGAAATATTAATACAAGGCTACCCAAGGTAGAGTTATTTCAGCTGAGGGATTGTAAAAGTTTTTCCCATTTCATTAAGTGCAGGTTTAGTTTTTTCTTTTCTTTAGTTAGGTATTAATTCTTCTATTCTAAAAATTTTTTTAAGGTGCGCGAGGAAGATAATAAAGCTTGGGGTAATAGATTTCTGTCTGCAGAGAAAGATGGTCTGCTTTGCTATTAACATGATGTGATTTAAAAGCATAAAGTGATTATTGGCATCAAATAAGCCAAACATAATATTAATTTGATCTGTTAGATCAGGAAGCGTTTCAATACCGCATTCATGTAACCAACTAGAGATTTCTTTCCAGAAAGCTCTAGAGTGTTCACAAAAAACAAAAAGATGTTCAAGGGTTTCCTTGTTCTTATCACAGAATGAGCATAAAGGTGACTCAACCAGTTTAAGCTTAAATAGTTTATAGTTAGTAAATAATATTCTATTTAAGATTTTGTACTGAAAATCTCTCATATATGTATCTAACGTGACCTGGAAAGGCAAACTGTAAATCTTATTCCACACGAGCTCAGAATTGTGAAGCATTTCATTATATCTCAACTGTGCTGTGGGGGTTTCACGCAAATCAGACATATGTGCTTCGTAAAACGTTTTGGTGTCCATTTCTGATAAAGACACTTTAACAGAATTTAAAACCAAGTTATAATCCTGAGGGTCGAAAGGGGGAGTGTGTGGTATCGCCTTAGATTTTAGCTCTTTCTTCCAATTGACAGGAATAGCGTCTATTAACCCATGCCAGGAGAGGGGGTTCCTGGGTTGGATATTCTTGGACTGTAAGTCAGACAACGTATGAAAATGCCCATTTGACTTCACCATGTCACAAATTTTATGCAATCCAGCCTCAACAAATACTACTGCCTGAAAAGGAGAACACTGAACTAAACAAGTTCTTAACTGTTTATCAGCACCTCATAAGAATTGGGTAGAGAGAAGTAAAGAGAAAATACACACTGATTTTGTGGTGTAAAGGGTTAAATAGTTTTTGATTGAGTGTTAATTGAGTTGTCACAACTTACAGCTAATCATAATTAAGAAAAAATATTATAGGAAGGCAATGGGAATTTTAAGTAAAAAATGAACAATTTGCCTGAGGTGCAGATGAGAAAACATGGGTGACTTAGTCTGGATTGGTTTTAATTTTGAACCTGATGGTTGAGAGGCTAATGAAAATTGTCTACTCTTATCATAAGAACAAAGGTAATCTGCAATTACTTTTGACACTCAATTGAGAGCATTAAAAGTTATTTGCAAATACAAAGGACCTCTTGCAAGTCAAAAGATTAAACAATCTCAAGAAGCTGTCTGAGTTTCATTCACAAATACTGTTGTGTTGAAGAGTTCTACTCTAAAGAGGAGGTTTGAATATTTTACAAGTAGAAATGCAGTTAGATGAAGGTTTGTGTGAAAGACAACAAACACTTATCCAGAATAAAAAAGGTTATTAGCTTTCTTTATGTCCAGAGTGAAAAAGTCATTTGTAACTCTGTCAAGTCTTTTGATGCTAGCACAAGTCAAACCTAGTGACTGAGAAAAATACAGAATACCACACCCAAAAGTTCCAATGGATAATCCATCTCTGGTTTAATCCAAGATAGGGGAACTATCCCAATGAAATCAAAGGTGGCCTGAAAATGTGGAGGCAGAAAGATCAATCAACAGTGCTGCTACACTTTGTGCTCTCCCAAAAGAGAACTCTCCTACTGGCAAGCTAATAGGGAGTCTGCATTGCCTGAGTAGTGCAATACCAGGGAACCCCTGGTGTTCTCCCAGACAGGGTTTCATTGCGATTGCAGGAATTTGGCGTGGTCATGTAAGGGATCCCATTGTGATCCAGGGGGCATTTGAAAGCAGTGCTGGAAGAAACTAGGCAGGATCTAATAAGGGAGATTCCAAAGGGATTCCAATGGGATGACCTTGCAGGATCTGGCTGTGATCCCCCCTCCCTCTGAAATGAATCTGAATCTCAAGTAGGTATGTGAGAAAGGAATTGACAAAGCAGGTGAAATATACTATGAAACTCAAATCAACTGTATCAATAGCATACTGGTACTGATCAAAATCCTGTAATTAGGTGATAATATTGTCCAGTTTCATATGGATGTAGTGAAGAGGCAATTAAACTTTGTGCTACAAAATTTTGTCTGGAGTCACACTGTCTTGTAATTTCAAATCAAGCTTATGATGCATGCTCTGATGTTTGTTCACATGTGTACTGCACAATTTCAGAATAAAGAACACTCCACACAGTTCTATTAAATAGTTCCTTTCCCAGGACAAATCATGGAAGCTTCAGCAAAGTTATGAACCCAGACCCCCTCTCTCTTGGTTGATCTACAATCAAAACACTTCCCATCAGAGCCACTGAAGGAAGGGACTGGGGAGAGTTAAGACATGACAACAGAAATTTTAACATCATGTGATTTATAAAACGTTCATTTATTTTTTTTGCTATGTACCAATTTTATGTTTTTATCTTTCTCACCAACTTGTTACACTTTACAAGAATTTACATGGTTGAAATATGGCATTTTTATTGCTATATTCACACTCAAAAATCCTTCTTTTTGCTGTTATGATTGTTGTCTGAGGTCAAATCAGATCATAACATTTCATAAATATTTCTGGTGCTAAAAGTGTTCTGACTTTCACATTAATCGATCTTATGTTATACTGTCAAGTTCTGTCAATAATAAATGCCTTGTCAAAAGAATTAACATAATTCCCAATTAGGTTCAAACACCCAGCTCTTAATAACATAATCTGTTCACCTAAAAATTCAGGTTTGCAAACACACCCAAATCCAAAGAATCTTCATTGGGAAAATCTTATTGTGCTACAGTGTACATGCAGATACTCATTTGCCATTTCTTCTTGGCACTTAATAAATAATAGCCCAAATTAATACCTGAGGCACGGCAACCCAAAAGCTAAAGAGTTTCACTTTTTTATCTTTATTTCTTTTCAATGAGAAAAATGACCTTGATGTGTAGAGTACAGGGCTGGTTGTTCAAAGCTGGATTAAGATAGCCCAGGGTTAGTGTGAAATCTGACGACTCCTTTCTGACTTACTGGTTTGTTGTCCCAAAACGTCCTTGACTGAGAGATTGTCCTCAAAATTTTAAAATTGCCAATGAAGCTCCACCTCTGAATTATTAAGTTTTTGGTTATTTCTCAGTTGCGTGAAGGAGTTTATTTACTAAATACATGTAAGGGGTGCAGAAATTCATACCTATGATCCCTCCCTCAGAAAAATTCCTCCACAGCTACCCCTCTGAGCCTAGAGAGTACCATGCACAAAACTTAAGGAGGTGACTTCTCCTTAATTTTCACTGTACATGTCCCTGAAATACCTGTCCTTCACCATATCAAATAATTATAATTCATCATTTCTTTTTCTTATCATCATTGCCCTCCACAAATTTTCTTCCAGCATTCTTTATACACCTTTCTGCAAAGCCAACAATCTGTCAAATCAATGGAGGACAAATCATTACGTTTTCCTTCGAGATTACATGGCAAGTTTACATTCCTTAACCCTCAACACCCAAACATCAATATGCATATTCTCCTTGCTGTTCTCTATAAATTTTTCAAGGTGCTGACAAGAAGAATTTGTTCAATGATCAAGAGCTTCCTTAGTTGGTGATCATCTCCTTTATTCTCAAGACCTCAATGTGTGATCCAGGGGTAATATTGTGTGGAGAATTTAGATACTAGTCACTCTTAGGGGTCAAATTTGTATATGTTTACATGTAAAGCATGTAAAGCTCCATGATAATAAATCAGCAGAAAGCAGAAAATCTATCCCTACCACAACTGCTTGCTCACAATGGATAATAATATAAATTTAAAAAACTTTTACTATTTATAATTAAAATTATTATGTTGCACGTACCTGGCCAATTTTCTCAATCGGGTGACAGTAAGACAGAATCCTTCCACTTATTTCATAGCAGTTTGCAAATCTATCCATAATACTGCGAAATCCAGTCCACAAAATTTCTATAGCAACAATGAAATAGCACATCATCATTAAATTAAGTTAAAGTACTGTACTCCAAATTTAGAGTTAAATAAATTGTTACTAAAGGTTTGCTGTTTGCTGATGATTTTCAGATACTTCAGGGACATGGGGGGGGGACCAATCTTGTAGTATACAGTACCTGGAGCTTGAGATACAAAAAAACAAAACAAATGGCAACACATCCACAAAAATTAAACAAAGGTAGAAAAAGCCATCTTCATAACTTTGAATAAAAAATTTCTTCAAGAAGTTGAGTACCAATGGTTCTGCACAAGTTGTAAGAGCTACTTGTGACATCCTTGTGATAAGATTTTTTAAAGAAAAAAAAATTGTTACTATTCAACAGTGTACATTTAATTTCTAATCTCCATAAACACTGGCCTCTCCATTAGGAACTAACAAGGCCACATGGTTCCCTTGGGTTGTAGAGTTACAAACTGGTCTGTAAATACCTTCAGGTCTTACACCCAGTTTTTCTTCTCTCTGTTCATTTTCCTTTTCATGTCTTTGCTGCTTAATTTCTCTCCTTTTCTGCTCAGCATCTTTCCCTTTCTCGACTTTCTTGGGAGTTGTTTTCTTTATAACATCTTTCACTCTTTCTGTTAGAGATTCACCATGCTCCTCCGTAGTTTTTGCTTCATTTGCATGACTGTTATCATTCTCCTGAAGTCTTGAAAAAAAAATGTATCATGATTAAAGAAACAGTAGCACCTCTTGCATGTTGTTACTAGACAGCTCCAGATTATACAGAAGTCTTATGATCATCAACACTTGGTGCTGGTGTTAATCCTTTAACCCCTAGAAGTGACTAACAAGTAACTTCTTCCTCTAATATCCATACATTTTCAGCAAACAAGCAATAAGAAAACTCAAACTCATCATGTAGAAGTTGTTATCTTGATCCAGCACCAAATTCTCATAATTAATTTACAAGGAGATGTGTTGCAGCTACAGAGGAGAATTGAAAATTACATCATGAGAGTTAAAGGGTTTACTCTAAACCCTTTTTCTCTTATTCCATGATCACATTCATAAGTCTCTTTATTGACTGCCATAAAATTCCTACGAAGTTAGTTCAGAGAATTTGGTATTGGAACAACTAAATATCCTGGCTTGTAGCTGATATTATATTTTTCTTTGTTCTTGTCACTTGTCTGCTGAATAATGTGTTGATATTGTCAGGACAAATTCTGTCTGGGTCACCCATGGGAGTTACTCATGACAGTGTTTACACCCTTGCATGAGTATGTGAATTCTCTATACTGTCCTTTATACATTTCCAAATTACTGACAAGGAGAATTTATTTAACAATTGAGAACACTTTAACCCAAGGCTCTCTGCCTTTATTCTCTTGAATATTCTTGAAGAAAATTCAGCAATGATAGTGTTCGATGAAATTAGATGTTAGTCACTCTTGAGGGCTAGAGGGTTAAAATGTAGAGATAATTTCAAGTTGCCATGGCACACAACTAGCTCACATTCATAGCTACATGCAATTTGTTTTCAAAACACCAAGTTAGAATGCTACAGTGTTTTGGCTGAAATCTCAGTTATGCATGCAAATGAGAACTTTTTTCTGTGTTCTTTTTCTCTGGAATTACAATTATTAGACACTGCAGTACAAGCAGTATGATTACAATGTGCAAGTTTACAGTTCACACAAGACTTACTTATCTTCCGCTTCATCTTTTTCAACTCTGATGTACGTATGATCATAAACTTTGGGACTGCTTTGCCCAACAGGTGTATCTATCAGACAAATTCAAAATTGACAGTTCATTGCCTCTAGATGTATGTACCAGAAATGTGATGCCTTTGACAGTGATTGCTATCATAACAGAATGATGCAAAAGTATATTTGTCACAAGAGCACAGCACAGGATGCGCTTAAAGCTGCAACTACTTTTCCATTGTTAGTGGATTGTATACTGTTTCCTGTTATTATTATATTAACTTGGTTCTACCAAGATTTATGAAGTAGTTGCACATCTGAGTGACAATCAGATTGCAAGGATCACAGAGTGGTTTAGAATAGATATAATTAACGATCAATCACTACAATTACCTGTTGCATGAACCGCAACCAGAAGTCCCCTTGTTCTACTAAGTTCCTCTTTGGTAAGGTTAGCACCCTGAGTATGTTAAAAAAAAAAGAGAGATTAGTTGATTTTATATGTAGTATCATAATGATGATCTGGCTGAATCTTTGCCAGTATAACCTCTAAAGATGATTTACTAGATGAGTGTAAAAAAAAAACCAAAAACTTATTAGCTGGCAAAGGTAAGGGTGTCTTGTAGAAACTCTTAACAGTGGCCAATTTACATTCTAACAAAAACAATGACTTTATTGATTCCGTCCATTAATGTTTTTTCATAAACCATTACTGACAATGAGATGTAAATACGTAATAACAGAATGCAAAAATGTAAGCACTATAAGGAAAATCATAGATAGTGGATAATGTTAAATACGCTTAAAATCTATCGAAAAAATTAAATTATTAACTTGCATCAATACACCAAACATTCCAGAAAAATAATATCATTTTCACCATTATGGTGAAAGGAAATTCCATATATCAAGTTAAAAAGACCTACGGTTATCCGCAGACCCTAAACCACTAATTTAAAAAAACACGGCGGAAATCTGTTAGGTAGAAAGTGAAGGTTTAGTTTTGTTATGACGTTCTCGGCCGACAAATATTGTGAAAGCAAAGATCACTTGTCGAGTGGAAAACGCTTCAAGCCGAGTCACGTGAAAAGTAACATTGAAAGTAAAACTCACTTTTCTGATCTTCACAACATGGATGCCATTGCAGATACTTTCTAGTTCTTTCTCTACGGCTTTATGAACTTTTACACTTCTTGACCAAACACCAAAGCATGTTTCGACCAAATCTGGCCTTCCATTGCGACTGGAATTTCGTTTTCTATGATTTCTGTCGTCGTCACTCGCCATATTTCTTTCCGCACTGCAAACAATTAGAAAACAATTGAAAGAACCTGGAAACCACTTTCGCCGTGGCGAGGGTACTGGGGTGAGTTATCAGAGATTAATTATTTTATTTTAAGTTTTTAGCATATTTTCCTATCAAAAAATATATTTTTAAGAATTTTGTTTTAAGAATAAAGAATTTTAAAAAAATTCTAGACTAACAGCCTCATTGCTGGTGAAGAATTTGCTTGTCATTTGAAACTACCCCCTCCCCCACATACCCTTTCCTATTACCCAGTTCCCCCCAGATTCCAAGATGTCGGTGCTAAACACTTTGATATTAGAGGGAAAAGTTGCACTTTCTTATTTCATTGCTTGCATTCTCTTAGTTTTAACTCTATTTCAAAGCTGTAGTCTCACGGAAATATGGAGTATCGCCACGAGAGGCATAATTCTTGGATTAACCATGTGTGCGACTTGTTTCGTTCCATATTCTTCTGTTGCCAAGAGAGCTGCCCTGTTAGGTAAGCATATAGGAATTTGTAACAACTGTTAAGATTGTTGTTCCAACGAAAATTTCCTAAGTGTTACCGGCATCATTTTTTTCGCTAAAAATAATTTTTTATTTCGATCTAATCGAGCGCGTCTTTGCGAAAATGAGACAACTGATATAGACTTACGGTGGTTTATTTGCGGTTGGCGTTTCATTTTGTACGTGACACGACTTTTGTTGGCAAACTAGGAAAGTGGAGAGCTACTCTATTGTGGCATAGATAAAACATATCAAAGGAGAAGTTGATGGCCAGGTTAAATTACTTTTTAAGTTCTTAACCGAGGCCACAAATTGCTCTATAGACGTCATTCGATATCAATAACCAAATGGGTCTACTTTCGTCTAATATTCAATGCTGTGCAACATTTTTCATAAATTTTAAATTCACTATTGTTACAAAATGTTTCAAATTGTTGAATTATATTATTAATTATGCGCACTATTTGATTGGTCTTTACTTATGATCTACTGGGGGACAGATGCATAGATACTGTCACTACAAACAGCATTTTGCTTCCTTGCTATATAAACCAAATAGATTCCATGTTGCCAATTGTCGGTACAGCAATAGATCACAGATGATATCCAAATTTGGTTAGATAATCAGAGACACACTCGGCTGGTTTTCATGTCCTTTTTTTTTGTCCTTACTGCATTTTGATATCATTTGTGATCTATTGCTGAACAGATGCATAGCGACATGGAATCTATTTGTGAACCCTTTACAACCTAATATCAGTATGCATATTCTCCATACTGTTCTCCTTACATTTCCAAAGAGACTGACAAGGAGAATTTGTTTGATAGTTAAGAGCTGCTTAAATAGTTAGTAATCATCTCCTGTATTCTCAAGACTTTCATGTGTGATTCAGGGAGGATATAGTAAGGAGAAACTAGATGCTAATCACTCTTAGGGTGTAAAGGGTTAAGGTGACATCAGAGTCTTCATGAAGAACTTAAAATTTTTCTTCACTTATACTCACAAATGCTATTTTATATATTTTGACCCAAAGGTATCATTTTTGGAATTGCCATTCTACTAAGCTTGGGTGAAACATTCTGGAAATATTTTGGCTGGTACCTAGCTTCATTATCATTCTTTCACCTCTCTGAATATGTCATGGTAGCATGTTATTCTCCAGATAAGCTATCTGTGGATTCATTTCTGCTGAATCACAGTCCAGAATATCAAATTGCCGCTGTTGCAAGTTGGATTGAATTTGGTGTAGAACTGTGGCTTTTCCCTTCCATGAAGAACATGTTCGTTGCAAGCTCCATGGGTTTGCTGTGTATGATTGGAGGAGAAACTTTACGAAAGCTTGCCATGATAACGGCTGAATCTAATTTTACCCATATTATTCAGACCAGAAAGGAGAAAAGCCATGTGTTAGTGACCCATGGAATTTATAGTTTATGTAGACATCCAGGGTATGCTGGCTGGTTCTGGTGGAGTTTAGGTAAATGCTACGGTGACCCACAACTGTTATGGCAATAACAAATACCTCATGGCAAAACCAAAAAGCTCACAGAAAAAACTAAAAGGCTCACGGAATAATTATTTCATGTTCAGAGAGATCATGAAAATTTGTCTTAGCCTTTTGGTTTTGCTGTAAGGTATTTGTTATTGCCATGACGGTTGTGGGCCACTATAAAATACAGATAAGTTATTGTAAGACAATAGACACTTACACAGTGATCAGTTCAAAGCTTCAACATCCCCCTTCCTCTCCCCTCCTGGGTAACCCACAGGCATTTGAACATCTTCTGTGTCTGGTGGGTGGAGAATTTAAACCTTGTCTGGATGGGGTGGGGAATTTGAACAAGTAGTCTCAAGTCTTTCCAGCTGAAAACAAGTGTTATATCTTCAAATATGGAGATGTTTACTGGTAAGTATTATATACCTAGACTTTCACTCAACAAAACAAGCAATGTGATTGTTTGATTCTTGGTCACATGCCCCTGATCAAATTCAAATGTACCCGACCAGGATACAATTGAGCAGTTGTTGCCCACATGCATGTGAATAAAGAAGTTGTACCATCTTTGTTTGTTTGTTTTTGCCATATGATTGTTTTAGGGAAAATCTAATAAAAATAACACAGTACTTAGTGTATGTTCCCTCGGGAAACTAGTTAGTTTTGTTTTCCCACGAGTCCTGGTGTTTCCCAAGACAAAGTGGAGGGAACATCAGCACTTGAAGGAAAACAAAACTAACTGTTTTCCTCGGGACCGTACATCAAGTGTATAATATTTCACTTTTGCGTGCAAATAGCTCAGAAGAGAGAAGTCTATAAGGTTGCAGATTTTCCTTTTACAAAAGCATTGGAAGAGGCATTTGATCATAATTTTTCTCCAGCAGGAGTAGGAATTTAAACAAACCAATTTTTAAAGTTCATATACCTACATGGGGGTTGCCTGGGTTGGGGGGGATGTTGAAGCTGCTAGTTGATCAACCCATTAATTTCCCCTCTCTAGGGTCAAACAGATGATTTTGTTTTCCCGAGAGTTCAAGACTCATGGGAAAACAAAACTGACTGTTTTTAGGTTAAAACAAAACTTCTGAAATTTTCATCACTTTGTGATCATATAATAGCATGCTTATTTACTGAGATTGGTCAGTTAATTATAATGCCCAGACTTTGCTCCTGTTGGTCCTTACATCATTTTTTCCCATCCAGTGCTCAGTCAATAAGTACATAATATCTGTTTTTAAAGACAAATTTCTACATGTTTTTCCCAGGAACACAACTCACATTGTGTAATCCCATTTGCCTCATTGGTTACATCTGGGCCTCATGGAGATTTTTCAATGAACGTGTCTATGATGAGGAAATCACATTAATTGATTTCTTTGGTGAAGAGTACTTGGCCTATCAGAAGAAGGTCACATCTGTAGGAGTCCCATTTGTCAAAGGATTTGAATACAATGTGGAGATGGTAAAGAACTCATAGTTGATTGATGGAAGTCACTCTACATGCAACTACAGTAAGCAGAACATTAAAGCTTTTAAAAAGGAGAAGTGAGCTCCAGAAACTTATTATTTGTACTTTTCCAGTACGAATTGTATATGAACGTTTGTGCTTCTATGCACATGAGGCATCTGGCAGAGAATGCCATTTAATTCTGTTGGTTGCCAGTCTGTCAGGCTGCCTCCATCTGGAGCTGTGCTGTGTTCCTCGTTTCCCTTTCTATGGTTGTCCACCAAGTTTCCTCAGATCAGCCTCTCTTTCATTGGCCATCTGGAGAAGGGCCACTCTTGGTAGAGCTGATGGTGACATTCAGAGCACACACTATCAATCCAGCTCCATCTTCTTCATAGGCCATAAGATTCAAAGAATTCTTTACAACCATTTGTTCTGGAACCCAGGTGAATTTGTTACATCTGTGCATTTAATGCAAGCCTAGAAAGGTTTGGTTACTCTTGGGAATCTCAAGAAAATAGTCGCCATATTTTCATCTTTATTTTTCGGATGTGGAGATAAACACTGTAAATTAATTTTATTGGTTTGAAGAGTATGTTTCTCCTCTCATAGGCTAATGCAGATGGTGAACACACATTTTGTGCCAAATTTGTATGATTTTGTTTTTTATGTTGCTGGTCATACATCCACAAGTTTTAATTTTTTAGATGTAAAGAATTAATTCTGTTGATGATTAATTTGTTTTTAATATAACAATTAATATCATTTACAATAGCCCTAACTTAGAAAACATTAAACAAATTTTTGAGTTGATTTTCAGGGATCAACTTTGTATTGACTATTCAACTTAAATATCAGTATCTATAGAGGAGCAAATCTTAAAGCTACATACAAATTGTTGTGAATGTTTGAGGTTTGTTTTTCTTGTACAAAATTTGCTTTTCCTTAAAACCATATACAACAAAAATGAAGTTGTGTAAATATTTCCAATGGTCACATGTACAGTTTCTAGGCTGCACAGTAATAATATTTAAGGATTCACTTAAACCTATTAAACCTTTAACTCCCAGAAGTGATGAAAAGGTCAGTTCTCTCTACAATATCCATACACTATCCAGCAAACATGTAATAAGAATACTCAATACTCAGGTTTAAGTTGTCATCCTGATCTTACCGTAAATTCTCGTAACTTATTTACAAGGAAATATGTAGCAGCTAGAGGGGAGAATTAACAATCTGATCTTGGGAGTTAAAGGGTTAAATACTAATATTTTCTCTTCATTGAATGTCCTCTCTCTGAGGTTGTTTTGTGTTGGCACCAGCCTTTATTTCTTATTTACTTTGTATTTGAGTATGCAATTTCTTCTCATATTAATTATAATTGCGTCTAGAGGTTGACGTCTTTTGCTCTGGATGATAATGTTAAGATTGTATCTTTGGCTTGAGAGGGGATTTGCAAACTTCCCCAGTTGTACGAAAGGAGATTCATGGGGGTGTTGCATAACAGCATCTAGTGAGGGCTTCACATGAGGCATAACAAAGCAACAAAACTAAAACAAAAACAATAAATGCATGTAGGAAAAAATCTTCTTCTTTGTGGGGCAGTCATTATTTATGGATTTTTTTGGGGAACACATGGTTTCAGGAGGGAACCAGGGGGAAGGGGGGGGAAGGCTTCTCTACCAGGAGGGGGAACTCAGAGAAAATTGACTGCCAATCATATGGGATCATTAGAACACTACAGAGCCTCATGGGGGGCTGAGGAAAGTTTAATTGTGACCCACCCCCGTGATAAGTGATGACCGAGTTATTATCTTTGTTATCTTTGCAATAAAACACCAATGCATACATGGTATGGTGTCAAGTTCTGATTAAACCAAGCTGGGTTAGTTCCTTTATTTTGTCAAAGTAAAAAATAAACAGTTTCAGCATCAAGCAATTATTTTCCAACATGGTGAGCTGCCTTGAAGACTTGATCTGAACATGCCTAGACCAATGGCCTTGACTCCACCTGCATCTTTTTTTTTTCCTCTTCTTTTTAGTATCTGTTCATCAATTTTTATTCCAGTCGCGATCAGAAAAAAATACCTTGAAAGGAAAAGAGTCAGCATGAATTCTTGATCATAGTTTTTTTCATACTTCTTTATGGGGAACAAAACCCAGCACACTTTACCTAGCTCTCAACATATAGCTTCGTAGCTTTGTTGATAGCAACCATTTACACCCTAACATCAGTACACCCTAACATCCGTCGACGCCTAAATTTTTTTCTTTTTGAATGTTTTGCTTTTTGTAGTTCCTAGAATAGGAATTTACTTACGATCTTGAATTCCGATTGTCGTCGCTTATCGTTTACAGGTCAGCGTTAATCACACACGTCTTACGCGTCTAAGAGAGCGAATGACGAAGGGCTAACGCTCGAAACGTCAGCTTTGAAACTCCTTACGGTGGCCAGTTTACGTTATATACTCATTAGATAATACTAAATATCCCTGTTATACTCTCTCACCGACGCAGCACCACAATTTCTTTACAAACTTAATCCTTTAAAATATTCGTTAACAACTATTTCTTTCCTCAAAAGCTTGGTATAAAAGAATTTTTACGTTACTGAATATCTTTGGTAAAACTCTTTGGTAAACGTTGTTTTGCAAACCGACTCACAAGTCGCCTAAAGACGAAACCGGATTTCTTTGCGTGGAATCATCTCTGATATAGATTTTTAGTTTTGTTGCATACCTTCGGTTGTAGAGCTCGTTTGCTTTTTTGGCATCTTCTTGTTCTCCATCTTGTACCAACAATACACGGGCTTCGTTTGGGACGTTTTTGAGTGGAGAAGCCAGCTGCCATCTTTCCAGAAAAAGTCCATTTATTAGAGGAACATTCAGATTTCTTTACGGAATCGAGAAGAAACGTGGCGATGAAAAAGTAAAGGACAAATATCTTCGTAACTGTCATTGTGCACTGGTTGTTCTTCGTTTGACACGGCCTCTAGTTGCAAAACGTTGTGATGTTGGATTATCTGGTGGAAAGTCGTATTTATACCATGAGTGGAAAAATGGTCGTGTTGTTTAAGCGGATATGCGAACAGTTTAACGTCCGTGATTTGTTGGATAATAGCCTTCTGTAACAACTTCGGAAGTTCGACAGCTATAAAAACCGGAAGTGAAACTGCGAAAACAAACTTTGCGCCGCTTTGTGGAAAAAAGGAAAACAGTCTGAGCGATCCGGAAGTGCGATGGAGGAAAAAAGCACCTATTTTACCCATAAAAGAAGACGAAGGTAGAGATGAAAAAAAAAATGATATTTTTGAGACTTCTTTGACATAAATTGCATTTGCGTAATTTTAATGCCAAGAACCTTTCGTCATTTCATGGCATAACCGAAGTTAAAATAACTATGATTGATTTGATAAACCCCACCAAATCATGTTCCATAACGGCTCAAAATAAATGAAGGATGAAATACATATATCTGCTCTGGTTTCACTCCGTTTTCAAATGGTCAAAGAACCTGAAAGGCTTCATGGTGTTTAAAATGTACCCGCTTTATTTTCGGAAAGAACTTAATTGTCGTTGCTTCAGTAAACGCCTGAATGTTTTACATTTGCTGAGGAATGAGTGAACCAGACTTTCATGAAACGGGGAACTCAACTGTGCTACTATTTAACAACCAGTTGAAAGTACAGGTTCCATTAATCCTGTTATTTTATGAAAATCGTGATGATTCAGAATGCAGTTGCCTGTGATAACAGTGGAAAACCAAAAGAGTTCCAAATTCTATCCTCCTGTCTTAGCGGCTACATTGCCCAGAAAAAGTGACGCACAACAGTTTGGCGTCTAGTGGTTAGTAAGGAAAAGAGGCGTTCTTTACGTGCTGAAAAGCGTCATACATACACCTACTTTGACGAAAAAACGCGGAGAATTTAACGCCGCGGCCAAGAGAACAAAGGCAATCGGTCTGGTTTAGAATGTATATTTCAATGACTGCTTCAGATGAGCTCAGACTAGGCGGTGATCACAACAGACAGATTAACTATCGTAGAAAAAACAACAACAACAAAACAAAACAAAAAAAAGATAACTTATGGAACCGATATTGAACACATACAGAAGACAAAGCGGAGCATCACGGATAATAAGTTGGCAAAACTTGATGGATTGCCACGATCTTTAAGTCGCCGGGTAGAAGTTTCTTAAGTATATCTCTGTTTGTCAGTTTATTTTACGCATCTTTCTTGGTCATTTAGCCTTGCGTGATTTTGGCAAATAAAACGGCTTTTGCTCTTCCGATTTGACATTTAAAGCCGATAGTAATAAATAATAATAAGACTAATCCCCTAAAATATCATGACTCTGTGTCCATTTGAATCAAATCCCTGAATGTTTAACGTCAAAATCAGTGAGATGCGTAGCACGAGTTAACCCACTGAAATAAACTAAGTCGGCGTCCACGGCGACTCTGATGCCAAGCTGGTAAATTCTAGCACTGAGAAATTTGGTAGAGTTTTAGACCACCTCTTACTTTAAATCTGTTGATATGTAAATGACAAAACGAAAACCCTTCTTTTTGGGAAACATATTGCACGATATGATTCATATCACCTTTCACATAAACGTTGTTATCACATAGCCTGCTTTGTATTCTTTGTGATGAAATCCGGACCCTCAAGCTATTTTTACTTCATGTTTTCTATCTGACAACCGACTAGTATGAGCTAAAAGCGTTCATTTTAAGTTTCTGCTATAACTATTTGCCTTTTTCTTTTACAAGGCTTCGCCGGAATTTTCTTAGTCTGATATTTGGCTGACCTACGAAGAATTTTGGGTAAGATCGAGGAAACTTTAAAGAGACTCATCAATTTTTCATCAAGGCAAAAATCGAAGATGACGGAATTACTACTGACAGAGATACAAGAGTCGTCGGGAATGGTGAAGATTGACACAAATTATAGACGGCGACCCTGCCGTGAAAAAGGATAACGTTATCTCGATATTCAACCGTGTCTAAAACGATTTGGCGCGGCGTTAAATTTGCCGCCTTTCTCCGTCAAAACAGGTGTAGATATGACGCTTTTAACCATACTCCTTTCTTCTTCAACAACCGCTTCAAGCCAAACCCTTGTGAGTCACTTTTTCTAGTCAATGTAACCGCTAAGACAGGAGGGTATAATTTTGGTGCTTTTATTTTCATTTTCGGACAAATTAACCGCAAAGAAACAAGGTAGAATTCTTAAAATTTACTGATTTTGGATAAGTTTAATAATCTTTATCAAAGATACCTTTCTTTTTAAAGTATTTCACCAAGTGAATATAATTTTTGTATACAATCCAAATTTTATAATGACGAGAGAGAAGAGGGAGAAAAAATTCGATGGAATTCGTGTCAAAATACTTGCAAAAAAATTAAAACAATGTTGGTTTTGTTTTTGTATGTTTTTCTCTACCTTAGAAGTGCTTTTCAGCGTGCATTGTGCATTTCGCGAAATACGTTCGAAAGGATTCAACTGCGAGGTATTGCGTTTAAAGGAGACAGTTAACAAACAGATGCCATGTTGCCGTGCACTTTTTCAGCACTAGATCACAAATGACGTCAAAATGTGGTCAGAAAACATGCGGCACACGAGACGCGTTTGTTTGTAATATTAAGTGTGGTGTCTATTTGGCTGAAGAACCGATTAACAACAGGAAATGTTTGTTTAAATGTGGGATATTGACGTATAAAACGACTCAAACGCCATTAAAAAAAAAAAAGTCCTGATCAGCCTTTGTTCCATTTCTTTTCCGAAAAATTCCAATGAATTTTTTTATACTCAATATTTAAAGGTAGCGAAGACGTAATCTAATGACTTAGTTGGTTGTTAAACTGTGGAATAACTGTTTATGGAGGTCTAAACGGTTGTGTACTTACAGCGATCGGTCGAACATTCAAAACTGCCTCTCGTGTTTGCTGTTTTAAAATAACCACAGCTTTCTCAATTTTTGGTTTTCCATTTACAAGTGGCATTTTTTGTTAACTTCATCGCAGAATACAGCTACAACTAAGGTAAAGATGTCCAGTTCTAAGAAAAAAAAATTGTCTAAAAAATTAATTTTTTGTTTGTCTTTAGAGGCTCTGGAATTCTATGAAGGTTTAGAGGGTTTTTTTCAATATTCAATCGAATATTTATGACCGAATTTGACAACATATACCTATAGCGATGTTAATCGCCTTTTACGTTAGTTCCTGATTGTTAGGCCGGTTTTATCGGTACCCAATTTTTTAACACTTTAACTAGCGAGGTCTTATTGTTAATTCTCCTTTCTAGTTCCTGGATATTTCTTTGTAAATCAGTTACGAGAATTTGGTGTTAGATCAGATTTCAACTTCTACCTGAAAAGTTTGAGTATTCTCATTGCTTTTTGACTGGATAACGTAGGTATATTATGAGGGGATGTTACACGTTAATCACTTCTGGGAGCTAAATGGTTGAAAACAACCCGACCTTGACAAATCTTGTCTGTAAGTTTTTAGCGACTACGTGTGGACATTCACAGCGCACGGATAAGGAATCAAGTTTTTATTCTATTTTCTTAGTTAAGTTTTACTTTACAAATAATACTCATGAACAATATTTCTAAAAACATTGTTATATAATAAGACTCCTGCCGCCA